TCGCTTATTTTGATTTTGCATTAAATATTTTCCATACGAACATGAAAATTTTTTAAAAGCGGTTTTATTTGCAAAGGACAATTAAATCGATAAATAGCTATTTTTTTTATTATTTACATTTTTCTAAATTTATTCAAATCGATAAATAAATTTTTGTTTAATTTTGAGTGAGAAACAAGCAATGCGTTGCGTTAAATTTTGCCGTATGGTTATGATTTGCTGAGTGGTATTGGAATTCAGCTACGAAGTCGAATCCATGCTTTTCATCCATGGAGCCCTTTTTTTCGTGGATATATTGTCGACAGCTTTAGCGCACAAAATGTAGAACTGCTCGGATATGTGAGATATAGATTGAAAATAATGCATATAAGGTTTTCTCATTCTGCGCAAATAAAAAGCAGAGATCTAAATTATATTCCCGCAATGAGGATAGAAGTATAGACGAGTCCTCAACATCGCTCGAATTTCCTCTTCAGTAGTAGATTTATTCAAGAACTAGGATTTAGGATTCAAAGAACTCGGAAAGAATTTGTTTAATGGTTGTTCAAATGTTAAGTTGTGCTAAACGACCTATTTTTGAACAGAAAGTATTTCTGTGCATGCGATACATACATCTATGTATACTATGGAGTATTGGCCAAATGGCTAGTGGATCGGACAAGAGGGAAGGGTTTGGCTTTTCCCCGACAGCCACTCGCTTTGCTTGCTATTTTGTGCAATGCAGAATTCAGCAGTGCAGAAAAACATGTTGTCTGGTTTAATGGTGTTTTGCGCCTAAGAAAATAAATTTTTAATTAATTTGCATCAAATATATTTCATAATGCGAAACCATCTGTGAGTTAATTGACATAATTTTAAACTTTTTCAGTTGCACGAAATCTTTTTTGAAAAATTTTTTTTCAAGCGGAAATAGATGCCGATAATTAATCTATTAATTTTATCTATTTATTCAATCATTTTTGGAAGGGAAAATTTTTTCAGATATTCTTGCAGAATATTAGCGCTTTAAGGTGACATTGGTTTTTAGCCTCACTTTTCAATTCCTTCCTCTTGGAGAGCGGACGACTTAATGTCCGGTTGCTTCAGCTGAGATTAAGCCATCCAAGGTTCATCTCTGACAAAAATAAAACTACCATTAGAAATGAAAACATGGACATGGTGATAGTAAAGACTCATTTCTTAGAAAATATACTCTTCTCTTTAGCTTTCTTTATATTTATATACCTTTTCTATTCTGTTTTATCTGAATTATTCTTGTTTTTTACCTAAATTTTTCGAGAGTTCTTACTGTTTTGTTCATAAGATAAAAACTTTATAAAACTGTACTCCATCTATTAATCTTAGTTTTACTCTTTTTTAAATATTAAATGCTACTCAACGAAGGATCATAGAGTGGTTATTGCTAATCATTTCCGGTTAGACTAGTTTCGCTAGTACGATTAGAAAATTTTTCTAGAGCTTCTTCGAGATAAAAATAGAGGTTGATGACCAACAGTGCCTGAATTTTTTTAATGATAGCTTTATTTCTATCAGGAGCATGAGTCGAACCCTTTCATCTCAGCACAACACGGTATTCTATCCATAACCTATCCTACCTCATAAACAGTCTATATAGTAGCAGGATGTAAAAATCAGGAACAATCAGGAACAACATACAATGGAAGGCATAACTAAATAGCTGGCATCATCTACAGGAACATCTGTTTGGAATACGGCTTCCCAAGTTTGGTATGGAAACAAAGTCATGCGATATATCCCTTGAGGTGCTATGATATTCCTCAGACGATAGTCCATCTTTTGACAGGAGTGAAACCGGGTGTACTAAGAAAATTATTAATTCTATTTCTATTTCTAAGTATCTCTTTGGCGAAGTGGCCTCGTTCTAATTGCCAATTGCCAGAAATAGTATTCTTTTAAAAAAAAGGTATCTAATAAGACCATAAATAAATATAAAAGTACCATGAAAAGGTTAACAAGCACTTCACTGCATATTTTTTTCGAATAAAAAATAAAAAAGGTCGAAGTTGTTTTCTGGATAAATGATAAAGCATAGATAGATAGATTGAGTCGTTCGGATTAATTGCATTAATTCATTCGCTTCCCAATTTTTTTCCATCTAAATCTTAACTTAGCATCAAATCTATTCGATTAGTTTTTATCAAAGAAAAAGAGTTGTGGAAAAAAGAAGGATGTGTGCCGATGTTTTATAATATCTATGTGTGGCGAAAAAAATTTCGCTCATTATTTATCCAGAATTATCGATCATAAATGTAAGTTTTCTAATTTTCCATTAAAATTTCTATTTATTTATTCACAAATAAAAAACAAATAATTAGAAATAAAACAAGCAGAATAATACATATGCTGCTAAGTGATTAGAGCTCGTAATCCTGGCTGTTCGTGCGGCAAGAATTTTTTATGAAAATGATGAATCGCTGGAGAATAGAAGTACAAAAGGATTCTCACAACCAGCCTGGTGTTGGTGCTAGTGTTAGTGAAAACGAAGACTAATGAGATGATTGTATGCATATGTATATAATGGTTAATTTACAGGAAATGGAATATAATTGTTAGCATTCAGTCAATTAAATCATTTGCACGAAGCCTTTTTCATTGGCTCTTTTTTATTGAAAATAATCTAAATCTTAGTTTTATGGCTAATTTTTATGTGAAAAATATTTTCAGTGGATATTTTTAATATTTTTATATTTGAATACTTTGAATCCTTAAAAATTGCAAATCCTAAATCTTAATTTTTATTTGGCCTTATTTAAATATTTCTGGATTTTGAGGATTCTTCGGATAATTGATGAAATTATCGAGTAAATAGACGAATAAATCAAATCGATGGCTGTAAAATGAATATTTGTCATATATTTTGCATCACTTCAAATCATCAATTATAGGATCAATTATATTATATTAATTATATTACTTTAAATCATCAATTATATTCTATTCAAAGTTAGGATTCTCGAATTTTTGAGAAAATCGTTCTGTGAAAGAAGCAAATTTTAAAAAACAACAAAGATGCAACCTAGCGCTAACCAAACCTGCATTAGTCGACAGTTAAGTCCAATCCATGTCCAACTGCAAAGGCTGAGTCGAAATGCTTGAAGCGATAGTCTAAGTAGTTCACCATTCCTTTCATAATGATTTTAATAATAATTTTCATAAGACTGTTCAGAATTGATTGTTCACGAATCAAAGAAATTTTTAAAGCGAAGGTGAATTCAATGGAAAATAACTACGGACTTAAATTCAATTATCTTTAATCCAATTTATTCTTTGCACTATTTTCGCGATTTTATATGAATTTGGTGAATTTTTTATTGAATCCATTAAATTCCAGTTTTTTTCTTCATGCCCCTGTGATGATTTAAATTTTTTGTCGAGAAAAGGAAATTCATTTTGCGCTAATAAAGTCAAAATGTTTCATCTCCAACGTTCGAACTATCTCTCTGGTGGAATTAAATCTATCATTTAAAAAATCCGGGTTTGCGTTAGCGACCGACCTGTATCTCCTATCCTCAAGAAACTCCTTTGCAAAAATTTATTTTACTAAAAATCAATGAAGCAAATCTAAAAATGATGAGCTCCAGCCACTTACTTTGCTTATGTGCTAACTCCAAATTTAAAGAAAATGTTCATATTAAAAAATCTCCATAATTGTTTTTTCAAAGAAAATCTCCATTGAAAAATTTCAACTTCTGCTAAAATTAATAAATGTCAAATGTAAAAAACATTCTTTAGTAAAAAATGTTAAATTTTGAAAAAAATGAGCTAAGTCGATTCATCGTGCAAAATTAATGGAAAAGAACTTAAATTAATTTAACTCCATTTCCAATTCCAAACTTTTTGTGCTTCTTCGAACAAGTTTTGGCACAACTATTCTATAACACTTTTTATATTTAAATGTTATTTTTTCTTGAAAAATTCTAAAAATTCAATACATTTCATAAATGAATTTTTTGAATAATCATTTGTTCCCAACTTTTATATATTCTAATTCTTGATTCATTGATTTCCGGAGCGTTCGTTAATATTAATGGCAAGATCAAAAAATTCGGTTCGTATTGCTATCTGCTTTGGCAAAATATCTCATCTTATTAACTTCCAGTGGAGCAATTCTAATTAGAACTATTGAATGCCAGTTATTTATTTATATTTATATTGGTAATCATTTGGCTCATGGGCCCATTTACTGCATTTTTTGCTTGAAATAGATTATATGTGGGCATAGTCGGTCTCTGATCGTAATATAAATTCCATGAAAAGCATAAATTGCTGGCCTTCAGCAGACTCTCAAAGGAATTCAAAGCATTAAAAAATGAGACACATTGACTTATTCATTAAATAGCTGATAATACAAATGATCCTAGTGATTTGTTTGAGCAATAATAAGTTATATATGGTTTATAGCTTGATTTTAAATCTTAATTATGAACAGATTAATTTCCTAGATTAATTTCTTAATATATATTTGAAAAAGAAATCGATGCTAGAGATACGAGGTTACTTTAAAATCCTTAAGGAGGATATCCAAGCGATTATTGCGTAGATTATCATTTCATGGTTCGATACTGCTTCCAACAGATATAAAAGAAAATTTGATCGTTATTTTAAAAAATTGAGGAATGTTATAGTCGCATCTTTATTTCTCGTTAAATTTAATAAACCTGTTCGTGAAAATTTAAAATTTAAAATCGTACTAACAATAAGCGAAGCGAGTCCAGCCGGAAACGGGGAGCGCTAACCGCGGATTTATTCTCTAACTTAAGGGTTTTGAAAAAGGCTTTAAAATTAACCTTAACGATAACAGGTTTACTTAACAGTTAACTTTTCATTAATTCTTTTTTAAGAGTGACTATTATTATGAATCTTGTTGAAAACGGCGATGGTAAAATATATGATAAAATAATAAAAAATAAAATAAATGATTTCAGCGTCTATGGCGATTTTTGATATTAAATGAAATAGAACGCCAAAGGTGGTTGTATATGGGCGGTCGATGCTCAAAAGGAGCATCAAGTCCCACTCATCCACAGTTTTCTGATTTCTCAGTTTATAGATCGATTGGTCGTGGTACTTTTGGACGGGTAAATTTTCTCCATCTTAGACAAAATCTCGTATGATTATTCTTTCATTCTTTACTTCTATTTTTAATCCTTTCAGCTCGATAAAATTTTGAATTTTTTTCCTTTTAATAGAAAACAATCGTCATAATCATCCATTATTCATTCAAAAGTATAAAAGTAAAAATTTAGATTAGATTATTTTAGATTATTTTTAGATTATTTTTGGAAAAAGTGCAAATGAGAATCAGTTATTTCTCATTTAAATAATAAATAAAGAATTTCGAAAAATTCTTTTAGAATTCTTTTCGAATCACCATCGTTTTTGCTGATCGAGTAAAGTAAAGTGATTGGAGCCCACCACTTCTCCTTAGCTAACAACAAGTGGAGCGAGTTTAATGCTCTAGCTATTAGTACGATTAGAAATTTTTGCTAGGGAATTGCTTAAGAATAGAAGTATAAGACAATTTCCGACAGCACCTCTTTATTTCAGTAGTGCATTTACTGGGAAAAGGACCTTGAATAAAGACGACAATGAAATGCCAATCATCCTGCGCCTTTTTTCGATGGTTTAAATTTATGAATTATGAATTACTTGAAAATTTTCAGGTTTGCATTGTTCAATATCGCAGTAACAAAAAATTATACGCGATGAAATATATGGACAAACGTCGTTGCGTACAACGAATGGCAGCGAATATGGTTTTACGTGAACTTGATCTTTTAGCACATCTTTCGCATCCATTCATCGTTAATCTATGGTTCTCTTTTCAGGTTATAATTTTTCATTTATAACTAAATTTTTAAAGTTGTTTATATAAATTTTCTTCCTCTAAAATTATGAGCGGTTAGCATTGATTGCTTCTGATTAGGTTAATTCCTCTGGTTACTACGGTTAAAATTTTTGAATCACGAATCATAAACCGGAAATACAGGTGAATTTCCCAGCACCATTCGGACTTTTTAATGGCAATTTATACTCCTAGAGCCTTATTAGAAGGAAAACTAGTGATTTTTGATACTCTACGCATATCGAAATTCAGTCATGTCTAAGATCAAAATTAATCGTATTTTGTTTGTTTATGCATAAAAATTTCACCTTCTTTCTTCTTCTTCTAACAGCTCTCACCATTACCAGTTAGGCTGGCTCCAACGGCCATAACGTTAAGATGCTTCCAAATGGCGCGATCTGATACCATCGTCGACAATAATGGAAGCCATTCTAGACGTGATCTGAGTTGTAATATCATCTTTTGCCTGTCCATTTGGTATTAGAGCGGACCCAAGGTATTTAAAATCGGGCACTTCCTCAAGCGGCAATTTACAAAAAGAGGAATTTTATCAGCTTCGTGCACATAAGACGAAAAGACTTTCGTTTTATTTACAGTGATCCTGAATCCGATTCTTGCCGCTGCACTTTCTGACACGTATTATTTGCATTTCGTTATAACTATCAGCAAAAAGGACTACATCATCAGCGTATTCAATATCTGTGATACGATACTCTGGACTAATTCGAACATCTCTTAAGTGCCGACAAGCAATGTCCATTATCCAATCTATCGCATAGTTGAATATTGTGGGAAAAAGGACGCAGCCCTTGACGGACGGACACCTTGTTCTTATTTCGAAGGAATCTGTCAGGTCCCCATACATACAGACCTTCGCCGACATATGCTCATAAAATGCCTTTATGAGTCTAATGATTTTCTCTGAAACACCTTCCAGAGAACACGTCACGTTCCATCATCCTCCAAAGCACCGCACTATCAATTGAATCAAAGGCAGTCGCAAAGTCGATGAAACACGTGATGAGACAGTGGGTTGCAAATATTTGAAGCGATGTTCCAACACCCTTCTTAACGTGAATGTCTGGTCAGCATAATCGCGCCCTGGTCTGAAACCAGCTTGAATAGGGCGCATCCTGCTGTCCCGTACTTCCATAAGTCTGTTGAGTAGCAGGGAAGCAAAAATTTTTGCTGAGACGTCTAGTAGGCCGATTTTTCGATAATTGTCGCCTTTTCCTATCATCTTTCTTGAGAATTGGGAGCAGAATTGCTCCAATCATCATAATATTTTTTTTTCCATATTAAAGAGTACATTTGTTGAAGGTGCGTTATGAAGGACGATGGACAGCACTTGAAAAGCTCAGCCAGAAGACCATCTTTTCCTGAAGTTTTGTTGGCCTTAAGCTTATAGATACTGAAATTATTTCTTCTTCTGTTGGAGACTCGCAGTTGCAAGCATATGCTTCACACGTATCAGCTATATCAGGGGCAATAGATGGTGCTTCATGGTTAAATTTGGCCTGAAAGAATTCTTTCCATTTTATGAGGCGATCCTTAATTAGTACTCCATTGCTGTCTCTTACCATTTCACTAATCGTTCCCTGAGTCATTTATGAAGAAGGCAAAATAGTTTCCTATCGTCGCCTAATCGAGCCACCACCTCCATTCTTGAGGCCATGTCACTCCAATAGAGATTTCTGTCTCGCCTTGCTGCTTTCGTTGCAAATGTTCGAAGCACCCGGTAATCAGGATCACCTGACATTCGTGCCTTGGCAGCTTTTTCAAACAATTGGACAGTTGTTCCCGATACCCAAATAGCGCACTTCCTACTAGTATGCCCTAGCGCGAAAGTGGCTGATTTTCGGAGACATTCCTTTAGTTTGGACCAGTATTCATTTGCCGTTCCAGAAAAATCATTGATTTTTAAAATCATTGAAAATCATTGAAAATCATAAGAAGGCGTTCCCCATTGATATTTGTATATCACTAAGATACTTCAATAATTCGGTTTAAAATGCGCTCACTCTCCCCGAATTTTTTAGTTTGAGATAGTTGAAGAATCTTAGGAGATCTAAGAATCTTAAGAAATCTTAAGAAACTGTTTTTTGCGAGTTGTCAATTTTATGCGGATCTTGACTCGAACCATGGTCAGATCCATGAAGATTGCCCGTTTCAGCGCGCCGCGGTAGGAACGACTATCTAGTACGGAACCTATTCCAACGGTGACTGATTAAGATATAATCAATCTGGTTGAAGTGTTGGTTATCCGGAGAATTCTACGTGATTTTTTCTACGATGCCGGAAGCAAGTATTAGTAACAAAAAGTTCATGCTCTTCGGTATAAGAAGGCGTTCCCCATTGGTACACCGGTCTTCGATGCCATATTTGCCAATTGTTGAAGTCATCGCAGCTGCATTATGACCTAGGCGAGCATTCGAGTCTTCTCCGATTATGATCATGTCATGTTTCGGAAGAGACTTTGTTAGCAGTTGAAGTTCCGCTTATGTAGAACTTATCTTTATCCCGGTCATCAGAGTTGGAGTACAGACACTGATGACCGAGATATTGCAGAACTTACCCTTAAAAAAATTTAAAATTTAAAAATTTTACCAATTTCATTTTATTAAGCTTTTTTCTGATCCTGAAAATAGCAAAGACTACTTTTACATTTATATTGGTTTCTTTGATATTTTTTATACGGATTTTCGGATTAGCTATGAAAGAGATCTGGAAACGATTTCAGGATTATCGATATATGTATATGGTTAGTGATTTATTGCTTGGTGGTGATTTGAGATATCATTTACATCAGCAAGGAAGATTCGCAGAAGATAGGTAGGTGTACTAATGATTCTTAAATTTTCTCAAATTTTCGAAGATAAACATATCATCAAGATAAATATATCATAACTATCATAAACATAAGGAACAACGCTTTAAATCAAAATTTTGAGTTGCTTCATATAATTTCACAATTACGGTGTACTTATTGCAAATACAAATATAGATTTGTAGAGCAAAGTTGTATATATGTGAGATCGCGCTCGCTCTGAATTATCTTCATGGTGAAATGATTATGCATCGAGATGTAAAACCGGAAAATATTCTGTTAGACGACCAAGGTCATGCACACTTGACTGATTTTAATCTAGCAACTCGATTGAGCCCAAAAACATTAGCTACCTCTTTTTCTGGTTCGTTTTTTTTCACTAAAATTTTATCTTCTTTTGATTATGGTTGCTGTTGGAGGCTCACCCTTACTATATCTTTAAATGAAGCGCACATCAGTAGAGTCAGTCAAACCAGAAATGATGAGTGATATAGAAGGTATTTTTCCTACTAGTGAAATTCTTTCACAAAATTTTATTGGCTATTATAAAATTAATTAGTTCCAATGTAAGACTGAAGCAATTATCAGTTTTGTAATTTCATTTCAGGAACTCGACCATATATGGCTCCAGAGGTAATTATGTCTTCCCTTGGTATCGCTGCCGGATATGATCACCGAGTTGATTGGTTTTCTCTCGGAGTTTGTTTTTATGAAATGCTTATGGGAAGAAGACCGTATGAATATAATGCCAGTCTCACTTCTCAGCAAGTTAGCCGATGTTATTTTTCATCATTTCGAATTATTTTATTTTTAGTGGATTATACATCTTTATTTTACACTTTTACAATTTGCAGCATTTCAAAACAGAGCTTTCTTTTTTTGTAACGTCTACTATTTTTTGCTTCGCCGGCTCTACTGATCTCTAGGATGAAACTGTTTTTGCTATAGAATCATCTAGAGAGAGGAGGGTGAGAGGATAGAAAATAGAAAAACATATTGGTCCTCAAATACCATCTCACTTTTGGTTCATTCTGTTTAAGGAAAATCTGACTTACTTACGACATGGTCAAATATTAGTCCCTAGCAAAATCGTTCTTTGTGTAATCCTTAAAAATATTTTCCAGTTTTTTCATTCTCTTTTACTTTCTTTTGACTATTATTGACCAGTTAATAGATTCAGTGCAACTTTCCCTTTCTTGATTAATATAATCTTATATAATCTATAAATAATCATCTTCATAATCTTTGGCATTTTTTGTAAAAATTTGGTTAATTTCCTAAAAAATGCAATACCAAATAAAATAGTAGTTACAGTCATGAAAATGTAACCGTTATTTCAGGTATTAGTATTAATGAAGCAAAGCATAATAGCTCTACCATCCCACTGGCCTTCGGATCTTATTTCTTTTATTACCTCAATGCTCAGGTTTAGTATAAACGATAGAATAGCATCACTACTTTCATTTTCAAGGCACAAATATATGGAACGAATCAATATGGATGCCGTTCTTGCTAGGTATAATGCTCTTTGTTTATGCTAAATTTCAATCTTTGTGCCAGATAATATTAATCTGGGAGCAAGAAACTATTTTCCGTATCTGTTTGTTGAATGGGTCTTTCACCATTGATCTAATCTAACCTTCATCATCCAAAATGATACGTTTACTTTGATGCTAACGGAAAAGACGAGGCCACGCTACGCTGGCCTCATGCTCTTGATATTCCAAAATCTGCCATCTTGTGAAAATGGCAGATTTCAAATTCCTCTCCAAATTCCTTAAATACCTCCTTATTATTAATGATTAAGTAACTTTCCTCAAACTTCCTTAAAATTCCTTAAGAAAACTTATATAATTTATATAACTTTAATATAACTTTTATAACTTTTATATAATGCTGGAAAATGGATGTTAAAGAAACATGAAGTTTCGCAGGAAAACTGCCCCAGTATTCATTCCTCGATCTGATTCGCTCAACTGTGATCCAACATATGAACTTGAAATGCGTATCGTTGGTTCATCAACATTAAGCCGACCTAAAGATCTAACTCCGACTTCAAAGGAAGAAATCGACAGAGCTGTTGAGGAAATCACTCGTGCTTTTACGGCTTATAATCGTCAAGTGCACAATTTATCGCAAAAGCAGGTAATTTCTGTCAAAATCTGCTTTTAAAATTATTTAAACCCCTCGTATTCCACAGAATGTGGCGATGTGAACAACAAATACTATGATTCAACCGGTATTACTTTCCTGCAGTCAATATTTTTTCAATAATTTCAGAAATTAATTCTTTCGACAATATAAATCCAACGAAATTAATATAAATTTAAAGGTAATAAACAATGAAGAAACATCATTCGTTACTACCTATGAAACTAATTGCTTTCGAAACGCCATCTGATTCCTTATTTGAAGTACCACACCGAATCCGATGAACCGAAAACGATACGATACTTTCTCCAATGGCCTTCTATAGTACTTTCTTATATTTGTTGAATTAATTTAGTTAATACTAATCGCAAAATTTATTTTAGCAAATTCAGCGATCATACAATCTTAATAGACTTATTTGCTATTCGACTCCAATAAATGATTGAGCACTGAATACTGTGCGCGAAACTGTTTCGTTTTGGTAGTTGGCTTATTTTGGATCCTTAATAGGAATGGCAGAATTGTCACAAGAAACAAAATTTAACAGTTAACTCGTACTTTCGACTTTATTTACCCATACCTCCTGAACTTTTTTCCATAAATTTTCATTTCAGGCTCTCAAAAAATACTGACAGCAAAATTATAAAACTGACAAAATAGATAAAAACGATTTTTTGCTCGTTAAAAAATAGTAGGAAAAATATTAGGATTTTAAGATAATACGTTTATGTATATTTTTTGCATATCATATTCTTATATTATTTGTATATTATGCAATTGGCTGGTCCATTATTTGGTAACAAATCCAAAAAATAAATTTAAATAAATAAAAGATTTAATAAATAAACTGTGATAATCCAGGCCCAACGACATTTTAACACCAATCCATATCCTGCTATGTTCTCTAATCTTGTTATGCCTGTTTAAAGTCTCTTCAAACTCCGTATATTTTCCCTTATATTGTCTCTTTATTCCCTTTATATTTATGGAAAATAGCAAGAGACTACTTCAACCTCAAAAATTCTTCACACTACCTCCTTCGCACTTCTCCGCATTCCTTCAGAAGGAAGGCCGTGAGATCTTTTGCATTCTCTGTACTAGATGTATACTTCATCTAAACACGTTTTTCTCACTCCTCTTGGAAACTGTGGCCGCCATTCTCCAACTACGATTTCATGTTTTATTTTTAGGAAAGCTGAGAAACGTCACTCGACGGGATGATTCTTTCATAATTCTAATTCTTTCATAATTCACCCTATTCACCAAAAATTTATTTGCTCTAAAAAAAATAGGTTCAATTTTTTTTTCCGCACCAAAATCATTTTTTTTTTTTTTAAATCACTCATCATTACTGTTTATTAATTGCTCCGCTGGACTATATACGCCAAAGAGGCGCTTGGCGATAGAAGTACAGATGAGCCGCCAGCACCACCCATTTTTGGACAGATTTGCTCCTGCCATTAGCAGAACTTTAGCATCGGAGTTGCGCTCTGAATTGAGCGACAATGCACTGAGCCATTCTATTTTCTGGCATTATCGCCCTGGCATTATTTTCTGGCATTCTGACAAACAGTGGTACATCGGCTGATTCGAATTCAAGCCTCGAATCTTGCTGACATTTATCTTGCCACTGAATCATCGAATCAGTAAGAATTCGTGAAATTCAAAATAAGACAAGTTTTAAATTGTTAATTAATTTGTTATCAACTTATTTAATTGCTAACTCAAATTAAAATTATTATAATGCAAATGTTTTCCTCTATGATTCTACATGCATCGGGCTTTATTCAAGTTTTTCAAGTACCAAAATCAGCTACGAAATATATAGACAAACCAAATTTACGAATATCTAAATATTATTCCATTAATCTTTTTTTCAAAAAAAACATTCGCATAGATGAATTTTTTCATATCAAATGAAAAAAATATATATATTTCTTGTAAATAAAGAAAATTTAAAATATATATTTAATGCATAAACTTTATGGAACAGAAATTACCACTTTGCGATTAGATTTAAGCCAAAGATGAGTTCGACTCGTACCCACAGCTGAAAAGGCACTTATCTATCCTTCAATTTTTCTCTGGCGAAATTTTCACTCTAGCGGTCAATGGAATCAACCAAACAAGAAATGAAAAATGATAGTTGTTAAAGAATTAGAACAACTCAATCATTTAAATTTTGAAAATACAAATTGCAATTAATCAACAAGTTATATTTCAGCTTCAACCAAAACTTCCAACTAAGCATGATTTCTTCAAATTGTATAGGAAACGAAATAAAATAACTGGGCCACAGCCATTAATAATTTATGCACAATTTAAATATTTCATTTATTGGTCGCTTCGGCTAAAAACTTCTCGACGATTAGCAGTCGAATATAAACCACCAAGTTCCAGGAGAATTCTGTCTGGATTTTCATCCCAAGTGCTAGGAAGACTGACCTGTCCAAATAGAAATTGATTTAATTTGAACAGAATACAAACCAACAAGTTCCAGGAGGATAGATAAATAAGGCTCCAAGAACTCTTTAATGAATAAGTCCTTTAATGAATAGTGTAAATGCATCTACCTTTTTATTTTTTTCGATTTGACAAGCTTCTCGTCGTTTTAAATCCTTTTGCTTTATCAATGCATCTTCACCACTGCAACCAAAAACCTAGAATTCACTAGTGAAAATATAAAATAATAAGATAAATGAATAAATATGTGGAAATCTGATACTTTACCAGAGGAAAGATGCCTAGTGAAAAATAAATTTTATTCCAAAATTTTTTCTCTAACTATCTATTTATACCCAGAAAGATGTGAAAGGTGTTAATGTCAATATTAATATAATAATAAGCATACCTCAATCTCAGAAACACCATGAAATGCGTTATCAAGGATAAAATATTTATCAAAAGATATCTTCATTGGAAGACTTCGAAATTTTAAGTTACAATAAAATGAAGAAGGTTTGGCTACACGTATAAATCTTGGAGATAACTGGAAAAAGACAGAGTCATTGGAGCCAAAGCAAGTTCCACAATTTCTGAAAAATTTCAAGAAAAAAGTTTGTTCTAGAAAAGAAATAAACCACTGATTATGCATGTTTATTGCATTTATATTCGAGTAGCTTTTATTGACTAATTAGTCTAAAAGACAAAAAAAAAATCAAGAACCTCCATTCCTGATCAATTGCAATCACATAGATCGAATTATTTTCCAGGCATATTACAGTCACCGTTGCTCCTCTATAATCAAACACTTTTGCCTGAAATCTAAAAAATTTTTTAATACAATTAGGGGAATATAATATGGGAAGATATATATTTTCGATGAAAAATCATTTATTTTAAAAACGATAATGAATAAACCTTGCAGCACTAAGACCTTCATATTTGCTAGAATAAAGCACATCCCATCCTTTTTTTTTCGTTTCCGGAAGAAATAACTTAAATTAACTAAATTAAACATTAGAATGCATAAATAATTAAATTAAATTTGGATGATAAATCTTGAGAAAAAGTGCGAAATTAAAAAAATAATTCATCATTAATGCACCTGGCTATTTCTGGTATCATTGAAGTATAACAACGGAAGTGATCTTTGCAAAAACCACAGTTGGAATGGTGATAAAATATCAGTTTTACAGACCGGACTTTGATCCTAAATAAATAAATGAAATCAAAAAAGAAAAAATAATTAGCAAAAATTGAAATTTACCTCGAAGTCCATGTTTAAAATATTTAGAAACTTTGCTTGAATCGAATCAAATAATCTCGGACAATTTTGATCTTTCCACTGTAATAATTCAGCTGATGATGATGAAATAGTTTCCTTAACTATGATATAAGATTTAATAAATCCAATCGCAATTTTAGGACAGTACCATTTCTTTTAAAAAAACTGTTTGTAAAATTGAATGCATTGAAAGATAAATGTAAAACTTTAGATCATGTTGAATACCTAGAAATTGCAACGTACGGAATTTAAACAACTAAAAAAAGAAATTCATTAACTAATTTTGCTAGAAGATCATTGAAGAACGAATCCTGTTCATCAATTTCAATTCCACAAGAACTGGCAGAAATTTTAAAGATATTTTCTGGCGTTAACAGGACTTCAATAAAATTATCTGAGTTTTCTACAATTAAACATTGATAAAAGCAAAATAATATTCAATATAAGATATAGGATATTATAGGTTTTACTTCGTTAATAAAAAAAAACAAGCAAAACAACACCACAGATTAAAAAAATGACTAAAGTATGGATTTAAAATAATGCCAATTCCATCAATAGAGATTTAGGCTGCGAATTTGAATGAAAGGTTTGAAAAAAAATTTTTAAAAAATTTAGGACTCAATATTTACGCCTAGCACCTAGGATTAGCGCTTAATTCTATGGACTAAGCGAGTGACTTTCGATAATACCATGAATAATGCTGTTCATTTGCATTTGCAACTAAAGAGAGAAAAAATAATATCACTAGGTATCTACGGGATGATTTAGGCAAAGAGATTACAAAATCTTTGTCTTCCAACAGCTTTTACCATTACTGGTTAATTTGGCTTTAATATCTCTATAAGGATAAGAGTTTACAAGTAGTATGACCCGATGCCGCATTGATAGTAACAGAAACCATTCCATTTTCCCTCGTCTCAGCTCGCTGGTGCACCTATATATTCAAAATATTTCCTGAAGATATCAGTCCAGGTCTTGATTGGTCATCGATTTCGACACCATCCACCACAGGAAGCAAGTAGCGAAATACGTGTCAATTCCTGCAGTGAGTGGCGAAGAACATCTAACCAGCGTATGCGACGCTCTGTGGTAATATGCAATTGTTAATGTAGATGATATTTAATATAAAACGTCTCATAGCATAAATAAATAAAAAATTAAAAACAAAAAATGAAAACAAATAAATAAAAAAACTAACCAAAAAGGTGGGGAAAATAACAAGAAAATTGCTGAAAATCCATTTGAAATTTTTCATCTGCACCACCAGTTGAATATTTCCATAGATCCCATCCAAATTCATCGCCAAATTTCTCCTATATTCAAAGAAATATTTTACTATACGCGATATCAATTCATATTATGATTTCCAAAGTCTTTCTCTTCTATTGCTAGTCAGCACTTTCGGCTTGGCTGCTTCCAGTGGTCAAAAGGATGAAATTTCTTCGTCAAAGACTGGGAAATAGAAGCGTAGGTAGATCTCCAACAATAATTGGACTTCATTTTTTAACAAGTTCAAGTCGGTGTAGGCAAAAGAAATCGAATTCGTCGAAGCAACATACCACTCGATTATCCTATTCCCATAATGATTTCTAAATGAAGTTACAACAAATCAACAACTATAAAAACTAATAATATAAATTATATAAATTCTGAGAAACAGCCGTCGCAATATTAAAAAATCGATGATTTCTATAATAACAGAACTAAATAGAAAAATATAACTAAAAATATAAATAGAACGAAATATGAAATGGTCATTAAAAAATATTTTAAATTATTCATAAAAAAGTGAAAATACCTGATTCTCTTGAACTGGCTAGAATCAATCTGAGAAATTTTTCCGAATGAGGTCTTCATAAAACCATTTTCTTTTCAATATAAAGAAAAGTTGCTTTACACGAAAAATATAGATTTATAAAAAGCTAACAAAGATGAAAACTAAATGGAAACTAAATGGTTAGTGCTCATCACTTCTAGCAAGGCCATTTTCGCTGGTACGAGGAATCAAATGGACAGAAGTGCATGTGGCTAGGCATCATCAGCCGAATTTTTTTAATGATAAGTTTATTCCTGTGAGAAAAGAAAAATTCTCGCCTTTCAATGCGACTGAATCTGAATCGCTATCCACTGCCTCAGAAATTAACCGCTTTTTTAAAATTTATAGTTCGCTCAATCAGCTGTTGCATGGAATTTCTAAAAGCTAATGAATTTCTGATAAATTTTGTCGGATAAAATTTAAGCTAACATCACTCATAAACTCAGGAAACTTTTACTTAAACTTTTAAACACAGCTCAAATTAGTAAATAGGAAGAGGAGAATCGAATGGTTGCTTCGATAAGTCCAATACGTCACTAAAAAACCGATTCGTGCTCTTTCACGAAAATAGACTTATCATCAAAAGTGACCGGATGATATTGGAGATCCATCTCTATTTCACCAAATGACTCTCTGGCGAAAGGGATTTCATCCTAAGAATGTGAAGCTAACCAAACGAGAATCGACGAATGCTAATTAAAAAGAATATTTTGGCTCTAACTGAAGAACTTTTCTTTCTTTTTTTAAACAGAATCCTTTTTTTCTTTTAACAAAAAAAAGATTTCATCAAATAATTTCAGTGATAAACAGAAAATATCAAAATGCGTGCCAGGTGCTAACAATTATTCAAAGCAATATTATTAAAACTCGTCTTTCTTTACTTCAATTTTTAGTACCATTAACTAATTTTTAGTACCATTTTCATTCATTGAATGATTTTTATTAAAAATGACCATTTGCAAATGATTTTCCCAATTCGAAATCAATTCATATAGGGCAAAACTATTCTGTTATTATCGATTTACAATCGGTCAGGTTTGATCGAATGCAGCGATGATCATCGTCATTTTACTACCCTCTTCGAGACGACGAAACGATAACCGTTCGTGCCATCTTCCCACCCAATTCTTTTATTTCCCTTGCTGTAACTTATTTATCGTTTTATAATTTATTTATTATAATACTTATTAATAAGTTATAAATAATTTATAAAGTTCACATATAAAGTTAAATTATTTTTTTAAATTAATATTTATTTAAATAAATAAATTATTTATTTATTACTTTCAAAATTTACAAGTAAATTCTAACTTTCGCTTATAAATGTAAGCAAAAAATTTTTATTAAAACTTACCAATTGTATTATCAAGGATTAATCGAGGTGAAAAGGTCAAAGGATCGATTAGAAAAATTAGAGAACAAAAAATAGTAACCATGAATTAAAATTGTTTTGTTGATTAAACACTTCAAAAGGTCATTTGATCATAAATAAACGAAAAATGAAAAATAAAGTACAAATTCCAAGATTCCAAGATTTATATGATTATTTATATGATTCCAAGATTTTATATCTATGATAAATGATACAAATAATTTTTCGGCAATTATTTTTAATTTGTCCAAATTTAAATAAAAATGGCCAGAAAATCAAAATATATTGAATCAAAATCAAATTTGTGGTAAGGTATTCAAAAAAGCATTAAAGGTAAGGTAAGTATTTAAGATATTTAAAGTAAGGTGCTTAAGGTAAGGTATTTAAATTTAAAATTAGGTATTAAATATTTGTATAATTTAATGGAGATCGATCCTACTCATCTTGGAATCATCCGAGTCCATCTATGCATCTTATGCCTTACGATGGATATTAGATCCATTCCACTGGTTCTCATCCATCTACGCGCCCATTCTCTTCATTTTAGATACCTTAAATCTAATGTGCCACATTTTCCTTTCCGCGTTTCTTCCTAAGCTGTCCCACCGAACTTCCTGTATTCTGTTTAAATTTATTTCATAGCATTTTATGAATCTGCATAAACTTCATCTGTCCAAATATCCCATCTCAATTTTATCTAATGTACCTGAATTTATCAAAGGTGTCTTTATATCTTTGGCCACTGTGTTAAATTTCTCCTTCGATATTCTGTCCGAAACTATCCTAGTCTTCGGGCAATGCAACTGAATTTGTCCCACAATGCCTTCGATTATTCACTCTGTCCCATTGTATTTTACCCGTTCGTCTCTATTCATCTATACAACTTTTTCCCAGTTGTATTTCTTTCCTTCATCTATACAACTTTTTCCCAATTGTATTTCTTTCCTACACAATGAGTAGAGTAGCACATAACACACACTACACACATAGTCACATATACGCACACACTCATATTTTTCGTGTATTTTATAAATATATACAATATCACAGGTACAAAACAAAATTTACAAATATAGCTGTCCGTCTGTCCAGTTTGTCTTTTAATCCATCTATTTTAGTCCGATTTTGTGTCCATGATGTCCGTTTTGTCTTGCCACCTTTTTGTTTTTCTCTATATAATCTCACATCAATAATAAACGCGTTGCGTTGTATTGCCTTTCTTCCCACGGGTAGCATACGCACGTTCGTAGCCAACGTCTTATTTTCCTCATAGGCAAGCAAATTTATATGTTTAAATAACAAAATTTCCTTTTTCTTCATCAATTTCTTCATCCTGTTTTTCATTCCTTCTTCATTCATTTTTTCCCTTTCCCATCTTTTTTTCTTTTCATTTCTTTACAATATTCCTTTTCTCATTTATCTACAAATTATTTCTCTTGTTCTTTTCCTTAATATTTAATATTTTTAATTCATTATTACATTTATAATGTCGAAATTGCGAATGCAAAAAAAGTTCATGAACTTTGACCTTCTTTCACTTTTATAGATTAGAAAGATTTTTTCTTCTATGAAATTTTCTTCAAAATACCTACGAAAAAGGATTTATTTTACGATGAATGCATTATGCATTCAATAAAAAATATTTTTTTCATCAATTAAGCTTATTATAATGCTAGAGATTATAGTAAAATGTTTATATTCTAAAAAAACAAAAAGCCAACTGAAGTCAGGCAATGTCAACCAACAACTCGTAATGGCTTAAAGAAATCGACCATATGACCATTGCGTTTGCACTATTTTACACCAAAAAAAATCCTATATATAATTTGAATTAATTTGTTTTTCTTCAATAAGTTATTAAAAAATTATTGGATACTATTGGTCAATAAAAAGAAGAACGAACATTAATTCAATAATTTTGTGGAAATTTTCAAATGAACCAAGAAAATTATACGGATGAACCGATAAAAAAATCACGTAGAAAGCCTAATTTTACGGGACCGGAACGTTTACATTTAGCAAGATCATATGTTGAAAATATTGAAGAATACAATCGAGTTGGTTCATTTATATTTATTATTTTCTAAATTATTATTATGATATTTTTATCGGCATTTCTTATAATAATTTAAATTTCAAAAATTTTTTAAAGTCTTCATAATGAGAAATTTCTATAGATTTTAAAAATTTAAAAAAATTTCCAGGATCTTCGCAATTTACCAATAATTAATAAATCAGAAAAAGAATAAATCATTTAATTAATGAAAAAATTATTTAAGGGATTTACAGCATCAACTCGAGGTGATGCTAAACATGGACGACAAAGACTATTAGAAAAATGGGCAAATGAATTAACTGCTTTTGGTGTTGTTGAACGTACCACTATTGAAGTGGAACAAAAATTAAGGTAAAAAAAATTTCAATTTTTTTCTTAATGAACTATAATCTTCTAAATGTTAAATGATTAAATGTGACACAAACAGTGCTTCCTCCTTACTATCAATTTATAAACTTTTATATTTATTTCATTGAAAATAAAACAAATTCATAAAAATAACTGAGATTATTAAATAAATAACTGTTCAATGAACTGTTCAAATTTGAATCTAGATTTTATTTTATTTTTATTTTATTTTTTATTTCAAAGAAGTCAAAATTTATGAGAAATCGCTGAAGATTATTTTTCAGAGATTACATGAAAAAAATAATCGGCAATAGCAAAAGGCCACATAAAAGGCCGTTAAGTCCAGCCGCCGAACTATTAAGTACTGTGATACCTCAAGTCAATCATAACTCGGAAGAAGCGACAGCGATCTCAGGTACCTCAAATTCGATCAGTGATCCACAGACAGAATATGCTGATTTTTTGCTCAAACAACATCGCGCTGCTACTACGTCGAGCGATTCCATTGACAATAGGTATTTCATTTTATAACGAAGCGAGCAAGTGCCATACGCTGGTGTTGGCAACATTAAATTCATAAATAATAATAAATAATTAAGAAATAATTAGGGGTAAAATGGTTTAATGATTGCCCTCAATTCGGGGCGCCGATGTTCTTCTTCAAATAGGAATGAACCTGTCTTTCAAAAAGATAGGTAATGGTGACGGATAAAACAAAACACGGGGTCTGGCAAAATTTCTCTAGTTAGATAAGCTAGCCCAATCTGAAATGGTGCGAATGGTGTGATGCGATTTTAGAAAAAAAAGCAGAATAAGGTTGCATTTTTAGAGCTAAGCCTAAGCCTTAATTTCTCTTTTAACTAGAAGAAGATCAAAAACTATGTGACCATGAAACTTGTTCTAAAGAATTATATAGGATAAGATGCTGATTTTCAAATCGTTTATTTAATATCAGCTAATATCAGTTTATATCAGTTAATATCAGTTTATATCAGTTATTTAATATCAGTTTATTTTTTAAGTAAAAGTTATTTTATTATAGATTAAATTAATGTAATCGCGTAAAGTCTTATAAATAAAAATAAATCCTGCTTAATTTAAGATAATTTAAGATAATTAAGATAATTTAAGATAAAGTACATAATTTAGACCACACTGTAAAATAATATCACCTTTTGATTCCTTTACCTTGGAATTTTTATTGATAATTATGTATATTAATATTACAGCTACAATGCTGCAAATTCATCAATACCGCCAGCAGTTGATTTTACGATGCATATTGAAGACACGACATCATTACAAAGGGCACTTCTTGCACAGCAACTAGAAAATGCACGAGCTGATCATGCACTTAAATTAGTTGCAATTGAAAATGCACGAATTGAACAAAAACTTAAAATGGTCGAACTGGAAAAACGTAAACTGGAGCTACAACGAATACAACAGGAACATGACCGTTTAATAAATTTTTCGACAAATTTTATCAATAATGGCAATAATAACAATAATAGCAATGATTCGATGTATGTTAAAGGTAATATTAGTGATGATTAATTAAACTGATTAGAACTAACAATCAGATTGATAAATGATAATCTTGACAAGTCACAGCTAAAAATTGCTTATAGAAGCACCGAATATTCATAATTTAAACAATTAATCGTTGCTAATTTTGATGTATATTATTAAATATTATTATATAATAAACTTCATCACTGTAGATTTTTGCTTTATTTTAATGTTAATAATTTTTATGAACTTTAATTAAAAAACAAATTAACTGGTTTCGACAGCATAACTTTTATTATTTTTAATACAGCTAAATCTAAGTTAAAAAAATGAATTTTTTTAGTGCAAAATAATATACGTGATATAAATTAAACATTGATTCTTTTTCATAGTCTGATTATAAAATTACAAACTGCGTAAATATGTAATTTTCTATAAGGTAACCAAATATTTAAACCATGTTAAAACAAAAAAACCGGTTTTAAAAACTTTAAAGCGAAGTTTTTGGAATTTCCTCAATTTTGAAACAGATCCTGCGAGCATGAATGAAAATATCCCCAAATCCTATGGATATGAATGGAAAGTGATAAGAATTTCTTCCACGTCCACCCAAAGAAAATGTAAAGGATAATGTGGAGAATAGAAGCAGAACCAATTTTATTATTATTCTTCGAAACCATCTTCGTATTATATATCTGTACACTTCTGGTAACAGATAAAAATAATCATTTTCACTTTATAGAACGCATTCTCTTTTCTTAGTTAAAAAAAGAATTTCCAAATGCATTCAGAAGTCTAGGATAATGAAGAAAAATTGAATTAAGATTTGCGAACATAAAATAATGAGTCATATAATATTGACTTTCTTACGAGAGTGAATGAGGAATTAAATGTGAAATGAAAGATAAAATGGTACAAAAATGTAATGTGCCATCTAAAGGGAAAAGGAGAACTTATGCTTATTAATTTATATTTATATTTATTTATATTTATATTTATTAATAGTAATATAATTAGAAGAGTCTCACACATCTCCGATCTTGGAATAATCATGGATGAAAATCTCGATTTTGACCTTCACTGCAGAACCATGGTAAAAAAATCCTCAAAAATACCAAATTTTATTTTTCGTTCGTTTAAGAACAAAACTGAATGTTTTTTATTTGAATCCAACAAGAACTAATGGGCTAAAATTACTAAAACCTATGTGTAAAGCTAAACTAAAGGACTTATAATTTCTTTATTCGTACTATTAATTACTGGAATAAATTACCGAACGATATAGCTTATGCGTCATCCTTAGCTATCTTTAAAAAAGATTAAATAATATCATTTGTGATATATTTATAAGGTTCAAATCATACATGAAGTTTGAAATCTCGATTTTTACCATCCGATTATATATTATACGGTTACTTCGAATTATACTATATTATATAATTCTGTAATTTCCTTTTTATTTCACCATTAAATTGTTAATTTTTGTCATATTTTCTTTTTCTTTTTATCATTAATTATTATTATTTGTTATTTTACCTGTTGTTATTAACACAGGCACATGGCGTTTCTCGCCTGCTTGGCTGGTTTTCAATAAATAAATAAATATTGATAAAGCAACCAACCGTATGCGAATTTTTCGCAACAAAGGAGAAAAAATCTTGTATTGTGGCAACAAATTTATGTGAAATACCACCCTAGGAAAAAACCATGTTGCACGATAAACAACTGGTTGAAGATATTCTTAAAGAATATTTGCTAATATTTGCTTTTAAAATGTTCGTAAAGAAAGAATTAGTGATAAAATCCTTTATAATCCCTATAAAGTGTAAAATATAAATGCAGTAAACTGTAAATGTATAAAAAAATGACAACTTTGATTCTTTTGAATTTTTTATAAGAAAAATTCATAGTGAAAATAAAACTCCACTCTACATATCTACAGTAATTCGATTATGCGTACAATTTCGCTACTGATATTGATTTTGTGGTGGGAATTTAACTTATTCACTTCCAACTAATATTGTCGAAAATCTTAATCGAAAACCTTAATATATACCTTATATAGACTGGCATAATAATTGTATGTTCTATGATATTAAATTCCAAAAATGTTTCCTTAATCATTTATTGGTCTATAAGTATATAGCAAGGTACTTATTCGAAACAAATTACGTCACATCTCCCACTGTACTAATTGATCGATCACTTAGTACTTTTCGAACCATTTTGTAACAGTGCTCAAAATATCATCCAAATTATCGTAAAAATAAGATAGTTGAAATTCAAACATAATAGTGAAATATTTTAGAGATTCTGGTTTCGATTTCGATTTTGATTGAGGTTTATTGGTTTATATTTAAATATTTCTTCGTATAGAAAAAACAATATTCATAAGACAACTTATTTTTTGGAACTATGTTAAAAGTAAATTCTCCGACCCAAATAATTTTAAAATTTAATGATAATGAGATAACATGTTCAATGTTCAATAAACGTTTTGTTGATGAAAATACCGAAGAAAATATACTTGTTTTCATGACAATATTAAGATAGATTTACAATGTTTTAAAATGAAATGTTTTTAAAATTCTTAAAAATTTTAGGCCATCATTATGTGATATTATTAAATTTTTAGATATTATTAAATTTTGCTAGATATTACTAAATTTTTATTAAAAAAATTAATTTTTAATTTAACTTAATTAATTTTTTATTAAAAAATGTTATCTTTTTAGCTCCTCTATTTTCAATTTCTAGGGATATTTTAGAAACAAATGTTTGATATAAAAATCTGGAAATTGTTTTATATAATACCTGGAAATTGTTTTAAAAACGGGGATAGACAAGTGGTGCTTTAACTATAGGCCTATCAGCCTTATGTGTATAAGTTCTAGATTCAAATGCGAAAAGCCTATAATATACCTTGAAAACGTAATTTCGATATGGATTTTGTAGCGAAAAATCTCTTTCTCATTAGCAAACTGATAAAATCATGACCCAGAAATTTTTTCTTCGTTCTCTATTAATAATCGAATAATAGAATGCATAAATTACGCCTTGGATCTTGGACTTATTATTGATGAAAATTTAAATTTTGAAACAGAGTAATGGAAAAAAAATTATCTAAACAGTCCTATGTTTCGATTATTTAAAAAGAGAGAAAAAAATGAAAAGAAATTTCTATTACTATTTCTATTTGTGAAATATTTATTCGAATATTCCCATTCTTAACTATAATAGCGTACGCATATTCTCCAAATGTGAAAAAATGCGTTGAGTTTATTGGAGATTGATTAGGCAGAAATACTTTTTGCAAAGAATTAAACATTGGTGAGAAATACCTTCGAAATTAAGCTTGAATTATTCAATTTAGATTAACTTCACATAAGAAGAGCCAAACTTACATATATATAAATACTTACAAGCAAAATTTTACATGGCCACAATAAATTCCATAATCTATACTTAGGCCTACTAATATATATCGAGACCTTTCATAATGATATGTAGAATCTTATAATATATATATATATATATACTAGAATTAAATAAAACATTGGTAATATGGAGAAATATTCTTAATAGTCTTGCCCATAATCCACACTCCAAATTTTAATATTATCAGATTTTAATACATACAGCTTTAATTGTTTAACATTTAATAAAAAATTTTGCTACTTCCGCTCAGTAATTTTACCAATATTGTGCTTGGTCCTTATTTATGAAATGAAATAAAAAATTAAACGCTGATAAATACTGGCCGAATATGACTAAGGGATATAAAAAAAAAACCCGAATCGATCACGTTAAATTAAAACAAGTCTTCAGTGCATCACATGAGAAAAGTTTTGTAGCTTTTTTCCTTGATTATTGGAATGTTAATAAAAATTATCTAACAATGAATAAATTCGTGAAATCAATATTCATGATAAGAAATATCCAATATTATTTACTAATATAACAGAGAGGAAATTAGTTATAAAAAGATATTGACCACAGAAACTGATTAAAATTTTCAAATATTATTATTTTTCTAAATTTTAAAAAAATTTTTTCCCGAAAAGTATCAATGAACAGGGCAAATTTACGAGCAAAAAACGAAAAATACTGAAAAATACCTCAACCAGAAAAACTAACGATAATAATGTGTGGGAAATGGAAAATAACTGACCTTAAAATCATGGAACTTGATGGTAATTTTATCTCGTGAAAGTATCATAAATGCATCGTGTATCTTTTTATCAATATTTTTTTTCAATAGTTTTTCGTCAGTTCTAATAAATTTTTTCTCATAAATTTCTTTGCTTGCACTTTTTCCCATTTCTGAAAATAAGTTAATTAATTAATGTTGAAAGGAGACAAAAAGACATTAAAAAACGACACTACTTTTGTTAAAATATGTAAAAATTTTTGATGAATCGTAGCTTAAAAAAAAGCGAGAAAAGAACCACACTAAAAAAAAAAGCAAAACCAGAAAGAAGAGATAAGGACAAAAGAGATTTAAAAGGCGAAGTTATCGAAAATCGACGATAGAATAGCAGAGATGAAGGCATATGAAGGAAATTAAAAATGAGAAAACTCTAGTCAATGTTGGCCCCTATGGCCCGAAAATGCCTTTAAAAGATCGTCATGCAATAACATTTACCACACTATCATGAGAAATATCGCTATCGTTCCTCTCGATGCGACAATCTAAACAACAACTAAAAAAGAAGTACCACAAAGAATGATCAAAAAATTATTGAGCGATCTGTTATTAAGTGTCTAAATAATCAATATATTGTACAAAAGTTCCGAATAATGGGAAATCTCTTCACTGAATGAGCAGAGAATTTTGAAAAATAACGCGCAATATTGTTTTCGATGTAAAATAAAAAATAATTAACAAACATAACAATAAATAATATAATAAGAAGCAAATAAAATAACTGAAATGATTTGATAACTCTGATTATTGTCATTATCCTTCCAACATCACAAAGAGCATGAGAACAGAAATAAAGGGTGTACTCATGGCACAGATTTTGCTCAACATATTTATTGGC